GTTTGGTATTTTAAGCAAAAAACTTCACAGACCTATATTTGTATAGGTATGGCCCTACAATATATTTGTTTCCAATATAGCATAATAGGTCCACTTTAATTTACATCAGAATCTATTTTAAAAAAAAATTATTTTATTTATTTTTTTAATTATTATTATTATTTTTTTATAATGGGACACAGGGTTTGGTCCGGATTGATTTGCAGTTCGGTCCGGATCCGGACCTTGGTCGGGAGTTTGAGAAGCCCTGGTCTAATGGATAGTGAGGTGGGCTGAAGATCGGAAGGCTGTGAGTTCAAATCCCGCCAGGAACACCACCACTAGTGTGCCCTTGAGTAAGGCACTTAGCCCTTAGTTACTCGCAGGGAGAATGTCCCTGTAATCGGTCATTATAAGTCGCTTTGCATAAAAGCGTCAGCTAAATGAAATGTAATGTGATTAGTAAAATATGCATGAATAAATAAATAAAAAGTTGAGAGCTAAAACTAGTCTTTGCTGCTGCCTCAAAGAGGAGCAGGGGGGAGAGGAGGGAGACAGGAGAGGCTGATTCAGGAGCACAGACACACTCACAACTATAAATGAACTAATTTGTTTTATTAATAAACAAGTTTCAGTGTTTTTTTCATATTGGAAATGGGATGTTATTGGTTACGGCCATGATTTTATGATTATTGAAATGTATACAGTTCTGTTTCATATAGGTGTTTCCATAGATCTAGTCTCTTTATTTTCCCCTCAAAATGCACCAGATTGATGCATTTAACTCCAAAATAAAAAATGAAATCTTACCCGGGGGGGGCATGCCCCTGGACCCCCCTAGAGGATTTGAGGTCGACCCCCACTAAAAATCACATGGATAGGTTCCTAAATACATTTATAAATACATGTATTTTTTTAAATAGTAACCCATTTCCATATGTTCATGTGTGGGTAGTAGATTTAAACTATAGGGCTATCATTATGGGCCCTGCCTGTACCTGTTCGCTCTGCCATCGCGTGAAGGGTCTGCTAACAAGCGACCAACAGAAAGGTTAATGTTAATGTTGTTGCACATCACCTCAGCCTTTGCAGACCATTGGCATGCACACAAACCTATACAACACACTACAGGAAAGGGAAACTCGAGAAAGCAGAACAGGGTCTCTTTACTTTTCATTTACAAGGCATTGCCACACTTACTGTTTTGTGACCAACCTCTGCTCTCGGATGCATGAAGTCGTCTGGATTTTGATAAGTAGCTCAACACAGCTTTATTTGTAGTTTTAAAGACTCTGGAGGCTAACAGCTGACATTCTCAGCCAACGTTATGATCCCAGTAATGATGATCATGCATCCCAGGAGAACAGTCCACATACTCCCTCACACCTCAAGCCATTTAGCCATGGCGACCGTTCCTCATTTGCCTCGCATCACACTAAACATCTCCACGTGTCCGGACACACTTTTGTTTTTACCATTGCTGTCGCTGATTCAAGACCTTTTCTCTTTGACTTTTGGAACGATGATGTTTTGCAGATCTAAACCACTGTGGAGTGTGACTTTCTCTTTAAGTCTGTAAATCAGCTTAGTGACTTAAAAGCTTCACTTCAGCAGGATTTCTTGCTCATGCTTCAGGCCTTGATTTATTTTTAACAGCGACATCAATTCATTGAGCTGTAATTAACACCAGTGTTTATTGTCCTTCCATGACATCGCTCCGGGACAAATACAAACTTAATAATTCCCAGTAAAACAGTAGCAACCAAATTAAATGCAGCTGTTTACAATTGTTGGAATGTGTTTGCTGTGTGGTTTCCCCCAAAGGGCCAAAGCATTCTGTCCTTCTCTCTCACATTGTTTCCTTTCCTCTGTCTGCTCTAGAATGATGGTGCATTTTATTGCTCAGGTCTACAGTCCTCTTTCCCCAGCTCCCACTTGTCCTCTTTGATTTTCTACCCTTAGCTACGAAGTGCAAGCAAGTGATTTTCTTCCACCACCTTTCAAAGTAAGGCAATGAGACATAGTTATGATTAAAGCTGCTATAATCAATACTTTTGTGTCAGCAATGGATCCAATGACTTGTGTCTTGTAAGTGAAAGTGTTGTACGGTGACAAACCCACCTCACAATTATCACCCAGTATATTGTTATTTTCCAGTAATGATTTGACTTGGTCAGTGCATGTTGTTATGCCTGGCTGGGGTCTTATTGGTAACAATTTGGGGGACATTTCCTCCCTTCCAAAGATGTATCCGCACTGTCCTTTTTCCTGAAAGAATAACAAGCATTTCTGTTGACTATGATAACGATGGCAGCTTTAATCCTCACAATGATTACTCTTTCTTTAAACAATGGCTGCCTGATTTCAGAAATAGACGAAAGCTGGCTTCTGGTCTCTAGAAAAAGATGATGCCGTCTGACATTACAACCAGCTGTAGCTAGCTAGCTAATTAGGCTAAGGTTACCTCCATGAGCAGGCTTGGGAAGTAATGGATTACATTTAAAGGGATTACCTTATCAGGGCATCAAAAAAGCAACTGTTTTTGTAAATGTAAATGCGGATAACTAGCAAACAGGATCATGTTGTATCTCTTCTCTGTACCCCATCCTGCATTCAAAATATTACACAAGAGTACAAGTATTTCATCATAGATAATGTGTTAATCACTTATAGACTGTGTCTTGTGAAGGTGGATCTCATTTACATTTTTAAATATATTTCTTGGTAGCTTATCCTACGTATAATAATATATCTTCATTTATTTATAGTGATTATATTTAGAATTGAAAATGTGATTATGAAAAGTAACTTTAATTAGCAAAAACATGCAGTGGAGCAAACACCAAGAAGTAGAGGGTAGGACGTGATGGATAGACAGATGGATAAATGGGTGGGAAACTTGAAATTATGTATTTTATTAGTTTACAATAAAGTAATATATTGGAAAAATCTAACTTTACCTCCAAAAATGGCAACAAATGAACCCCTCTCAAGGTTGAATGTGAAAAAAGCTCTTAAAGACTTGGATGGATGTCTTGGATTCTTGTTTTTCACTTCCCTTTTCCCTCTAGAAACAGAGGGGAGTGTTTAATGGGCTCAGTGCTGAGTGTTGGACTACGTGTCTGCACCACAGCTCTACATGTCCCAGGTGTCCTGTCCCCAAAGCTTTTATTTCATCTCGGGCCACTGCTTTACAACCGTGCTTATAAATGCTCGGGTCAAGGTCGCGACCCCTCGCAGGCCCCGACAGGCTCATAAGCCCTCGGATAAACACACAGAGAATATCCCACTTGGCTACGCACCGAGACAATGATAGAGACAGACAGTGTGTGTGTGTGTGTGTGTGTGTGTGTGTGTGTGTGTGTGTGTGTGTGTGTGTGTGTGTGTGTGTGTGTGTGTGTCTGCTAAATGGGTGAACAGTTTTTAAAATAGCTTGTTTTGTCTCTTAGTACAACAACAAATTAAATTATCAAGGGGAGACACTATTGTGATTACGGTAAGTTAAAGAGCACATATAATGACCGTTCTCTGGTTCATATCAGTATGTAGTTTCTCTCCTGGGACATGTCTCCTTGTTTTAATGTTCAAAAAGCTCTTTATTTGTCTCATACTGCCTGCGCTGCAGCACCTCTTTTCACCCTCTGTCTGAAACCAGAGCCCACTCTGCTCTGATTGGTTAGCTGGCCGGCTCTGTTGTGATTGGTCAAGCGGTTAGAGATGTCCCGCCTCTTCGCATATTACGTTCAATGTGATTGACTATACCCTTCCTTGGTGCAAGAATACATGCTAGCGTCTTTGCTCTGGCCCCTCTCAATGAAAAGGACGCATGTGTTGCGCAAACAACTGATTTTCCCCAAAAGGATTAATAATGGGTAATCTTCTATCTTCTTCTTTATTACAGTGACATTTTACAGAGGGAATGTGGGACCTTTCTTAGTATTATTACATATACAACAGCCTTTAACAAATATATACAGTTATATTATCTAGGCTGTGAATGCACACACCATCAGGAGGATACTTCAGAATAGAGAAAGGAATTAAAACGTTTGTTGTGTGTAAGTGCTACTGAAGTGACAAATACAACTGTACATTTCCATACATGTTGCACACCCACTACAGGTGAAAAGGATAAAACACAGGGCGGAAAAAAAACATATAATGTAAGCAAAATGCCTCAAAAGAGTGACCAATTCATTTAAAACTGCGTAAAAACGTGTGTCTGCTCTGAGTTGTCATTTGTTTCATGCTGTGAGAGTGTCTTGTACACTTCATGTAGAATAAGTCACAAAGCAAACGGACTGTGATGTTGATAAGAGCCTAATGAGCGTCTTAAGCTTGTCTTTCTGCCTGGCTGCTATCCATTTGAGTTTTTCTCTTTATGTTGGCAGACTAGGCAGATTATGCTATTGTTGCACTCAGTCGCTCTGACTAAGAGTGTCAGCTAAACGCCTGAAATGCAATATGTTAATATGGGGGGGGGGGGGGGAGATATTCACTCGACGGGGTTGTTGTTACTCTTTATTCTGATTTGGAACACATTCCGAATGCATTTCCTTGACATGTATTGGTATTTTCTTTACTGTTCCTTTCACATAGGGAACTCATCATCCTTTTTAAGGTGGAATTTTCTGTCACTTTGCAGGTTCTTGTTGGCTGATTGTCAGGGATGGAATGTCACCTTTTGCTACTTTATACTTTACTCCACTAAATATTGTAATTGTACTACACTACTGTATTTTACAGCTTTAGTTACTTTGCAGATTTTGAATACAACATATAAATCATAGATTAGTATAGGTTAATCTATTGCATACAGTAATTCAAATGAGCCCCTCTTTTACCAAGTGCAACATTGCAATCTAAAACAATGTGTCTTCAGCGGTCATTTCAAAATGTTATGTTGATGAAACTGAAAAAACTGAGACACTGACTTTAAATAAATGTCAACGTTTCCGTTTTGTTCATTGTATATTTAGCAGGACTTCTGTCTCACCCCCACTTTGTTCTTCTTTCCTCAGGATCTGAAGAAGGTGCTGTCTTTCCCCCCGTACCCTGGGGAGTTTCTGCACCCGGTCGTGTATGCCTGCACGGCGGTCATGTTGCTCTGCCTCTTCGCCTCCATCATCACCTACATAGTGCACCACAGGTACAAAAAAAGCTTTAAACTTTAATCTCTCACCACTTTTTCCCTTCATGGTTTATTTTTGACTCCTCTGTCAGAGATCCTAGGTGTGAGTCAGATGCTTTAGGCTGGGGGGTAAAGCACTGCAGCCTGTCTGAGTAAGAGGATCTAAAACACAGATGTGTGTATGCGTGTGTGTTTCAGAGCGGCTTTTAATGGATTTCTGAGGGGCATTTAGGCCACCTTTACTCCTATTATTCCATATGGAGATGAAGAATGTACTGTGGCATCTGTCTGCCCTTCTTCAGCTGTTATGAAAGCTGGGGGAGGGGGGGGGGCTGTCTGGCGCATTATTCCAGCACTGCAATTCTTATTCTTGTAGGGCGTCAGTCGCTTCATTCTCTGTGGCATTAATTTGGTACCATAGTAGATCTATCTTAACCCTCCTGTCGTGTTAGTTTTCCTCCCTTACTGTTGTGTTCCCGGTCTGTTTTAACTGCTCTTACATTAACACGGAAACCATTGAGCATCACCACATTTTATTCAACACCCTTTTAAGCTGTAAACAGTGTCTCAGACCTCTGGTTTACTCGAATAACTGCAATGAATATACAAAGAATAGACACTGAAAATGTCTTCCAATATTAACATATTGTCGATTTGTGGGTGTGTCCTATCTGATGAATGAACATAATCTAGGGTTACCCATTCATTTCCTATGGCGCCACTTTTCACCCGGGACATCATAGGTGTTACAAAGTTAACTAAATCACTAAAAATGGAATTGAATTGAATAAAAGTGGTGATCAGCAATGTTATATGTTCACAATCACAAGTCCTTAAAGCAACCAAATGTAAAACACAATGTTTATGATTGATGAAAGTAGTACATCGGTGAGATTTGACTACTTTTCAGTGAAAAAACTGAAACGTTGACTTTAGTTAAATGTATGATGTCAAAAGGTTTCACATACATATATTAGGCTAGTTGAAAGCAATAACATAAGTTGTAAAAAAAAATATATTAGGTTCAACTTAATTATTGCTTTAAACTAACCTGATACAGTGATGTGAAATGTGTTGACACAATACATTTAATTAAAGTCAACGATTTAGTTTTCGGAGTGAGGGTTAATCTAAAATAAATGTTTCGTAAGCGACAGTTTTCTTAGAATAACACAATATTCTCGGCAGATGGTTTGGTTTCATTTATGTCCGTACTGTGACTGAAGCGCAGTCATGTATTAAAGTGTGTGTGTGTGGATGCACAGCAGCGTTTGCCACCATGTGTGACACCTGGGACGGAGACAGGGTGCGTCCCTCTGCAGTCAGACAGCGATGACAGCAGCTGGGCTCCAAACAGCAGCAGCATCACTTACTGTCGCCCGGCACTGCAGTATTGACTGGAGGGGAAACCAATGAAAATACAGACATGAGCAATTTTGAAATTGCAGAAGATTGAGCTTTTTGATTAGAGTGGAATGTATCTATTTATTTAACCTTTATTTAACCAGATAAAAGCATTGAGATACAATCTCATTTACAATGCTGACCTGGCCAAGAAGGCAGCAACGTTACACATTCTTACACATAAAATACAGACACATAAAATACAGAAAACACAACTAAGTAAACAAAAGACAAAAAGCAGTCACTACATTGTGCACATTTGGGACAGTAAGGTGCACTACTGCAGCTGGTGGTAAGGACCTCAGACAACTTCAATTTAAAACAGGCTATAGGGACAAGTGCCATCAGTTTGAGGCTTGATTGAAGGTCATTCCAAGACCAAGGACCATAATGAAAAAGACTCCGTTTTCCAGCCTCAGTCCGCATGGCAGGAACCTGGACCCGTATCCAGGCACTGGATCTGAGGTTGTAAGAGTCACAAATTAGGGCAAATCCGGCACATATGTACAGTGGAAGCTTTCCTAAAATGGTTTTATACATTAATAAAAACCAAGACTGCATCCTACGCATACTAAGTGAGGACCATCCAGTTAGGCTATACAGTATGCAATGATGAGTCCTATAGGGTGCATTTGATATATAACGCAGTGCAGCATGGTAGAGTGGGTCAAGTTTGGCCAAAACAGTGGGACAGGCAAATCTATAAATGGTATCACCGTTGTCAAGCTGCGACAGGAATAAGCCAGAGACCAACCTTTTACGGGAAGAAGTTGGAAAACAACGTTTAAATCTATAAAGGAAGCCAAGAGTGAATTTCAATTTCTTAATTAGAACTTCAATGTGGTGTTTAAAGTTCAGATTACTGTCCAACCAAAACCCCAGATATTTATTTTCAGTATGTATCGACAAACTCAACGGAGATGCCATCAAGGGTGTCAATGGAGAGGCAAGAGGACGCTGACTTGGGAGCAAAAAGCATTGCTTTGGTTTTCTTACCGTTCAATATCAGTTTGGAATCAAGAAGCGCATGCTGCAGCGTGATAAAGTCAGATTTTAAATTGGAAACGGCCATATCCAGAGAAGGAGCACATGAGTATACAAGACACTTTATGGTAAGGGTACATGAATCATCATGAATTCATGCATGACCTAATGCATGAAAAAGCATGAATTCATTCATATAGTACTTCATGAACTATCATGCTCAGAGTATTGTCCTATTTAATGTGTGTGGCAAAAAAATAATGACCATAGGGGCATAGAGATGCCATCCCCACCATACGTCATCTCACATAATTCAGAGCTGATTGGCTGTAAGTATGTATGCCGCGAAAAGTGTGGTGTGTGAAGAGGAGATGAGAGAGCTGCAGTGACGCATCCTAAAACCCGGAAGTAAGCTGCGCATTGTTTCCCTCTACAAAAAAGCAATGAGATTTCTCCAGAGGATTTTAGAAAATAGCTCAAAATAAGATCTGTGGGAAACGAACCTGTTAGATAAATGCACGTTTTGTTCAGCCGGATAATATCCACATGTCTACCCTACTTTTATAATTTTTGAATCATAAATCTATCGATTAGATTTATGATTCGACTTTTGAAAATACAAGAAGATAAGGAGGACTTTTACAAAAAAGTAATAGAGATTTTTGTCCAGAAGGATAGGCAAATGGACTTCATCTTCAAGTCAAGGTAACACCACCATTTTACTGAAAATGGGATCTTACTAAGAGAGAACAATTCAATATTTAAATTATAAAATTACATTTTTTGGGTATTCTTTTGTTGAACTGTCTGTTTAAAATTAATCGAAACATCAGACTAAAAAAGCTTTTGAAAATAATATTATATTTTGATTTAGGTCAAAATATAATATTTGTAAACCTGAAGAGTCAGTGCCAGTGCCTCACCAGCCATGAACCTCACTGCACGTCACTGCAGAAGCTTATATATAGACATATAAGATTTGTGTGCCCCACCACGTTTGTAGATATAAAAACGCCACTGCAAACACCTATCATGACAGGGCACCCACAGCCAAGTAACAATTACAAATGAATTAAGTCGGCACAGCGGCCCACATTGAAAATTACTTAGGCCTACCTTTGATGATCAAATCACTGAAACACAAAGTCCATCCTCCTGTCCTTTTAGATGAAGCACTTCATGGCGGGTCATGCAGCTGATCCTTTGCCACTCCAGTTTATCATTGTAACTAAATCTTGAAAATGACTCGGTTAATAATTTTGCAAAGGATGTCATCACTATCACTGAAGTGAGCCATCATGAACGAATTTATGCTAATCATAAATCTAGCTATCATAAATCTATCGATTAAATTTATGATTCGAAAATGATAAAAGTAGGGTAGACATGTGGATATTATCCGGCTGAACAAAACGTGCATTTATCTAACAGTTTCGTTTTCCACAGACCTTATTTCGAGCTATTTTTCAAAATCCTATGGAGAAATCCCATTGCTTTAGTGTCGAGGGAACCCGAGCGCAGCTTACTTCCGGGTTTTAGGATGCGTCACTGCACCACTCAGTGGGTGTTTCTCAATGTCGAGGACGCTTCCTTGGTAGGACATGTCTTCCGAGTCACTTCCTTCCGAAGCGAGGCAAGAATCCTTCCTAGCCTCGGAAAACGAAGAATGGTGGAACAGGTGTGCAGGTGTGCGTCAAATGCTAGGCCCCGCCTTAAATGGAACGCGATTTCCGCCAAAGATTTGGAAATTGGTCCGTGCGCAAAGCATTGTGGGGATTTTAAGACCGCGGAGGATACACATGCGCAGCCTCGCCATTTCTCGCTACGAAGGACGCCAGGCTCGGTAGAATTCCAAGGAGCCTGGACATTGGAACAGTCCTTCGGCGGGACTCGATGACGTAGCATACTTGACTTATGGCGCGTTTCCACTGCAGGCCTCGCTCGGCCTCGCTCGGTTTGGTTAGGCCTTATTAGGCCCGGCTCACTTTAATGCTGCGCTTACATTACAGTTTAGGAACTGGGGTAGTTACTATAGTAATACTATACTATACTATAACGCAGTGTAGGCGGAGCCGTGACGTCATCTTCAATGAGCGCCCCAGAAAAACAACACAGCCGTTAGCTGTTAGCACTCAGAGCTCACAGCTCCTCATATCTGTTCAGAAACTAGACACAAGTTAAACAAGTACAAACCACAGACTGTCTGTGTCATGGCGAATACAGTCGCTGGTTTATTTATGTCTGTATAGGCCGTTGTTGTGAGTGTGGACGGTTGGAGCATATATAACGTTAGCTTAGCCAAGCTCCATTTAGAAAACACGCATTTTAAAAGGGTTTTTCGCCTGCCGTCTGTCTGCAGACTTGTCAAAGCATTAATTCATGGTTTTTACTAACCGGTATCAGTATGTTGTTACTTCGGCATCATTTAGAAACGTGTATTACAATTAAATTACGGTCAAATATGTTGTAGTTGTAGCCCCCTTGCCAGCGATTCTCTCTCTAGTTTAGCATACTCAGCCCGACTCAGCCTGGTTGTTCCTGGCCCTAGAACGACGATTTTATGGGGCCAGAAAAACTGTAGGACCCGCTAGCCGGTACTAGGCCAAGTGGAAACGCAACCAAAAACGGGC